AGCGTGGGATGCAAGTCCCTCGGCAGGATGCACCTCTGCACTGCCGATGCAGCCAAACCCATCTGGAAGGTGACTGAGCAGGAGGGAGGAAAGTACCGTACGTCCTCAGCCGCAAATTGAGGGTCAGCGAGTGTGGCGCAGAGCAGCCCCCGTAGTGTCCATTCTAGAAAGTACCCGGGTTTTTATTATCATGACGAACGCCCGATCTGCAAGCTGCAGGACTGTTCCAAACCGGTCTTAGGTATTGATGTGTTATTTTTTTCCCTTATTTTTGTTGGCTGATGCATGCTGCTCCGGCCCCATAGCTTGATCGAGGGATTTCCAGCCGATGGAACCAACCAGCGTTAACGCTGGCCCCCGACTGCAGTCAACATACAGTAGCTTGTATGGGATCTTGGGCTGCATATCTTCCCAGGAAATGTGACGCGTCACGGGGAAAGGTGCAGTGGTGCGTTGTTCGTTGTTGCATGCCCCCTTTAAACACCTTGTCCAAGTCTCGTGTGGTGCCTTGTGTTTTTCCTTTTTGGCTTTTTTCTCAACTCAACTCTTTCTCCCCTTTTTCGCTTCTCACTGTTGCATCATGACTCGGCATGTATCGCTCCGTCTCGGATCGGAATAACAGCGCTCTTGGGCTTTACGACGTGCCACTTCACGCGATTGTGTCTGTGGAGATCAGCTTTCTCGACCATTTTATCAATCTGTGATTGCGCCGGACCTAGGTCTTCGAACGCGCGTGTGCTGGGTCTTTTCACTTTGGGCTCCCTCGGTCACGTTGAGGGGTACACGCATCCCTGAAATTGAAGAATCCACGCGCAATATTCAAATATTGGATTTATCACCACCAGGAGCATTCAGGGCATCAACCAAAAAGGTACTGTCTCATTCAATTTTTTTTTGTTTGTTTGGGGAGGAGGTACCCAAGCGAATGTGGGAGGCCTGGGGCCATCAGGCATTCTTTGGTTCGGGATGACATAAGAAAGCTACCCAACCATGGTTTGGAACCTTCTTGACAAGCGGCAGCTATAACCGCCTTGTTGAGAAGTCCTTTGAGGTTCAAAAAGGGCTATTTTGATACCGTTTGAACATCCCCAAGCTAATTATTGCAGGATCGAGATCGAGTGTGGAGACACAGCAAACCCCCGGACATAGGCGATGCGGCTTGATCGTGCATATCTCCACTTTTGACTGGAATGCTTAGACGCCGGACCAGGGCCCGAGTCCACCTGGCGTTTAGACCAACACATTTACAGCGGGCAAGAAAACCGGGTCTGATCACCTGCATAGCCGGCGCCAACCTTGTGGGTTTTATGATCATAAAAAAAGAGACGCGGACTAGCGGACTAGCGGTTCGCCGTTTCTCTTTTGGACCAACGAGAAAGACAAGAAAGCCAGAAGTTTACTGCGCATCCGGATCGCCATTCGCCCCCTCAACCGTGGGTAGCTGAACCTATTCCACTTTTTTCTTCCGTCTACGGTTTAATTCCTCCTTTTTTTTTTTCTTTTTCTTTCTTTTTTGGTTCCTTTTCCCAAGGCAGTCACTCTGTCTTTTATCCACCTTCAGCTGCTCTCGTGTTTGAAGAGATTGCTACTGTGGTAGAACTTTTTTAAAGATTTCTCTTTTTTGATTTCTTTTTTCTCTTTTTTCTCTTTCTCTTTTTTTTTATTAAAATTCTGGATAATTCATTGGGTTAGTTGAAATTTTTTTTTCTTTTTTCTCTTTTTTTTGTGGGATTCTGGAATCTGATTTGTTCAAGACTGGGAGATTTGGAAGCTTGTGATCCAATTGATTTTCTGAATTTTTCTTTTTGTGAATTTGAATCGGTTTTTTTTCTTATTTTTTCTTATTTTTTTTCTTCTTCCCCCAATTTTATTGATAATAAGTTCTTTAGATTCAATCGGTCGGAATATCTACATTTATCAGCCGTTATACCAGAGAGATCCGCTTAAGGTTTTTGTCTGGAACCGTGCTCGGTTGGCTCTTTCCGCTTGCAAACTGACGACACCACTCCGTTTTCGTCACTTTCGACACAATTCACCTCTCTCACACTCTCTATTCTCTGCGACTTGGTGTTCATTTTGTCTTCTCATTCCCATGGTTGAAAGTCCGAAACAGAAAAAAAAAATCATTACCCCACTACAGCTGCCACCCCTCTCCGACGACATCGTGACTCGTCCAGGGTTCTTTTCCCAGCCTGTCCTTATCTTCTCTTGACTGGATTTCTCTCGGTCCAAAGACCCGTTCCTTCCCTTCCTCTTCCACTCTTTACTCTGTAAACCACAGATCACTTTCACTTGGTCTTTGTATTCCCGAGGATCGACTATCGCATCTGCTGGTTCACTGTCTCTCAAAGCAACCTCAAGTCTGGGCTGGTTCTCTCCACCTTTTCCCGCTTGTCTGTGACTCTTCGTCTTGATGAGTGCGACATTCTCCGACGCCTCTCTCTCGCGCGAAGCTCAGGGGTGAGTCGTTCTTCCCGTGTCTACTTTGACAGGGTCGCAACTCTTACGCGGTCGTCCAGGGAATCCCACTGACAATGTTGAACAACACCAGTTCTGACTTTGACTTGATCATTCGCCAGCAGCCCAATCGGGCCCGCGTGGCGGGGGGCAAAGAAAAAGGTATGTGGAAGCTTCCTTCTCTCTCTCTCTCTCTCTCTCTCCCCCCCCCCTGTTCCTAGCTACTCCCCGTGAAGCGGGGAGGTGCGGAACTGACAGAAAAGGAACCGGATCTAATGGCGCCTGCAGAGCGCAAACCTATCGATCCGCCCCCGATCGTCCAGCTCCGGGTGCGAGAGGAGGGCACCTACCTCGCACAGTAAGTGTGCATTCACCATGGCTTTGAACGGGGGGCTGACTTTGGCGCAGGCATTATCTGCAAAGCCCTTACTATTTCATGTGCTGCAGTCTGTACGATGCAACAGAAGAGCGTCCTGTGCCCGTCGCACCGTCGACTGCGTTAGCAGGAACCCTAGTTTCATCACTTCACCGGTTGAAGGATGTGGACAATAGCGGTTAGTTCTGGCAGCTCTTGGAGTGGAGCTTTGTTTACTGACGGGGTTTGTAGATGGAGGATTCTTCGTATTTGGAGATCTCTCTGTAAAGATTGAGGGCGAGTTTCGCCTGAAGTTTACCTTGTTCGAGATGCGAAAGTGAGTAGCACGGTCGGGAGCTTATTCTGGATTCAATAGCTAACAAAGAGCCAACAGGGATCGTGTCTCCTATTTGAAGACCGTTATCTCAGAGCGGTTCACAGGTAAGAAACTGTACCGTGGAGAGAGCTGGCATAGTTGGGTTCTGACAAGCTTGCAGTTTCCCCTCCCAAGAGTTTCCCCGGAATGATGGAGTCAACCCACCTCTCCAGATCATTTGCGGATCAAGGTGTGAAATTGCGCATTCGGAAGGAGCCTCGGACCATGTTGTACGTGCTATGAACCCATGGGAATGTGAAGATGTGTAGTTAACAGCCGCAGGAAACGAACGACACGACCGGACGAGTTCCACCAGCCAGTCCCTACTCGATCTCCGGAGCGCCAGTCGGTGCAGATTCCCCCATCATCTAGCTATGGAGGTTATCCGCCGGCGGCCAGAGACTATGGGTACTACGGTCAGCAGCCGCCGGTCAAGCGTCATCGTACTTCGATCGACTATGGCAGACAGCAAGGCATCTATGATGTGGATGGTCGAATGGCTCGTCAAATGGATCCATACAGCCAACCAACAGCTGCTATGTACGCTGGTCAACCAGCGACTTACCAAACACCTGCCGCCATGCAGACATATTCCACAGGGCAGGTGGTGCCTGATTATGCGGCGGTTTGTATTCCCGACTCCCCCTTTGCAGGTTTTGGGAGTTCTTTGAGCTGACCCCGGTGGATAGATGTACCCAGGCATGCAAGCCTCAGCGGGCATGCAAGCATCCGCCCCCATGTCCCAGATCCCCGATCCTACCGGTCAAAGCCGATCCAGCCAGCAGCAGCAGGCCGCTGTGGGACAACTGATGGCGATGAACCAGCCTGGCACTCCTGTACGGCACCCCTCCGCGAACCAGTGAGAGTGGAATAGAACACCTAGCTAAGGATTTTGGACCCGAGACAGACCCCGGATTCGACTGGAGCAATGATAGCTCAGGGATATGCCCGGTCCGGATACCCTCCTACCTCGACCATACTTCCTCCTCTACAGCGGAATCGCGACTATCCCCAAGGAACTAATGGATCCGCGCGAGGTTATTTCGACCAAACTCCTCAGACGAATACCCCTATTCTTCCATCTCAAATGGTCAATGAAGGCGATCGATTTGGCTCCGTGGCCGGCCCGGCAACCTTTGATCACCCCGACTCCCCGAATGGAACGCCTCAATGATTTGCTTGACGTCCTCGACGTTTTCGCTTTATGTTATCTTTTTTTTTTTTCTTCTGTCTCGATAGACCGGGAGGAGTGTTTCATTATTCTCTTTTTTTACGCTTGATGCTTTAACTGGGTGGCTAAAGGGTTTCGATTTTTTTTACAGGCGCTGGGGGATAAAAAGGGGGAGGTCTTTCTTTCATGGGATTGGGAGAAAAAGTGAGATTATTCTTAAACCCTTCTTGTACATACAGGCCCTTTTTTTTTTAACAGCAGTATCACTGGCTGATTGCAAGTGCTGATTGCAAGTGCTGCTTGTCTTCTCTTTTTTAATTGACGATTTACAAGAATACTCGGCTGCTTATGCCTATCCTTGACGATGTAAGACTTAAATAATCTAATCTGTTTTGGCCTTTGATATTAGGAACGTTAGATGTAACATTCTGATGGGATCTATTTAGAGGTCTTTTCAGGTGTATACGATAGACCAGAGGATGCTTGATATCACGTACCTTCCCAATGTTGTTTGCTACCTTCTATTGTCCTTTCACTTCTCTTCTCTTCTCTACTCTAATCCTTTTGCTTTCCATCTCCATCTTTCCTCTCTTCTATCACCTTCTCTTTTTTCATTTCCTCATTCATCTTGATTTCATCTCATGGAGCCCACCATGGAGGCCACCATGGAACCTCACGACAGCCCTCTCAGAAACCTCGATTTGTGGTGCGACTGGAGTGGCTTTCCAGAGGAACCAGTGTCTATCACAATCGCCATGGAGGTAATAATGAAGACTCAGGCCTCAAATACTCTCTTTGGGCCTCAGTACTGACCATCGTCTGAATTAAGCTACAAACCTACGGTCATCCCAACCTCATTTTACCAATTCTCAATGTTCAGTCGCCAAACACAGTGAAAACCCCGTCTTGGGTCATCCGGTTGAAGCCTGACTCCACCCAATATGATACCGACACTCCGCCTGAGAAAGAAGCTCGGCGATCTGGCCACGAAGATAGTGACGAGACCGAAAAATACCCTGCCAACAATGGCTCTGTTCCTGACTCTGGGAGTATTGTTGTCCATGATGGTCCATACGATGATGATACTCAGGGTGTCTCTCGTCCTACTGTGGACATCTCGGGGATGTACACCCAGGTTGATAGCTTGCGTAGCCCAGCCTCTTCAGACCCTCGCAAGAGCCAGGTCAACAGCTTGGGTAGCCCGAACTCGTACTCTCGTAAGAGATCCGCCAAGGCTGCTTCTCTGCCTGACTCAATCCCTCCTGATGATGAGTACCAAGGCACCCGACACAAACTTATGATGACCAAGATCGACCCGTTGGCGGAACTGGAGCCTATGTCCCAGGACACTAGCACCCTCGAGAACGTCGGCAGCTCTACTTCCCTTCACCGTCGTTCTGATAGTCTGGATGAAATCAGCGTGGCGCCTGAGAGCATCCCGTTGCCCCAAGACTCGACTCCGGGTCTTGTGCCGGTTTCTCCATGCGCTACATCCGAACATCTTTCGCTAAATGAAAAGGAAGTGACGGTTGATAATATACCCGAGCCCGATGAAACGAATATCAGCAAAATTGACTTGAGTGGCACCGAACCGCTCACCGAAGCCAACTTGCTCCATCGGAATTATGATACCCTTTCTACTCGTGGGTGCAACGGAAGCCTTTCTGACACCGAAGACAATGACAGAGAAAAGGAGGACCTGCTTCTTTCCCTTGAATCCATTGGGTCGCCATCATTTTTCTCCTGTTCTGGATTTCATGGACCCCCTCTGTACCCGACATCTGCAGAAACCATCGAAAATCATAAAAAGCCCAAGCTCATCTTGGACAATGACATTCTTTACGTGCAGGCCCCTCCCAACGTCTACTCCGCGACATACCAAATCGCGATTGCGCTCAAGGTCAGGCTGCAGAAAGGAAAATCGAGGGATTGGTGGGAGTTGGTTGTGAGTGGACTGCCTCGACTTGCCCAATTCGAATCTGGTTATCTCTACTTCCGAACTCCCCCGGGGCAAGGAATGGAATTCATGACTTCGTCTTTCAAACGACACACCCTTGTGGAAAGCTGCTTGATGGCCCAATTCTACGGTGGAAAAAGCCTCGTGGTTCCGTTCCGTAAGTGCAACGCAGAATATTACGGACAACTCAAAGACTATAAAGTCAATACGGTCATACGAGCCGAGGTGGCAGACGCCAACGATCCGTCGTCTTACCTGATCAAATACAATGCTGTTTGCTCCGTTGATCTCATCAATCACAACTTCTGGGCCGAGAAGTGCAAATTCAACCTCATTGTGCATGGCGGCCCAGAGGGCGAGTTCAATGCCATGTTTGCAGCCAAAAAGCCTGTTATAAACTCGGTTCGATTGCAACCAGCGCCAGATAGCATGGGTATCGGACTCTCGCGAATCAATATCATCAGCGTACCGCAAGCTCTGGAGATGTTTATCGTTTCGTGGGAGGTCACGCTGCCGCGAGGCAAGGCTGTTACCTGGCTGCCATGGGTGAAAACCACGTTGAGCTACAACGATGCTGAGACTATCCTCCAAGAAGATTACATGATATTTGGCCCCAATGAAATTATCCCTCCCAAGCAGCAGAGGGTTGATACTAGAAGCCGATTTTCATGTGGTCAATCGGGAACTTTCCGTCAATTTGAGCCCCCAGTCATGGAACCTCCATATCTTCAACGCGAAGCACTTCTCAGTCACAAGCCTAAAGTGAACCGGCCTTTGTTTGGAAAAAGCCCAGCTTCTAAGTCTACAAGTACACAGACTGTTGCGACTCTTGCGAAAACTCCAGTCGCTGAGCGAAAGAAGCCACGCCGTGCTGCCAGATTATGGTCCCTGATCAAGTTCTTTTTCCAGCTGCTTGGTTTCTTGGCATCTGTGCATACCATTTACTTCTCGTACTTGCTGCTACACAACTGTGGGTTCCGCGAAGTGTATGTCTATGACCTAGTGGACCATACAGAGGATTTTAGCAGCATCAACATGGACAAAGCGGGGGATACTGTCCTGGCGGGGTTTGATCTTCAGCCTGAGCCGATTCGATTCGAAGTTCCGCAGTTTGTCAACACTACACCCGCCGCTATCACCCCAATGCCCTTGAGAGACCGTATCGATTACCTTCTTGGATGGCGAGGACCAATTGCGCGGGGGTAAATCTTTGAAGATGGGGATGGTTTAGTATCACTATGGGGGAGAATACCGGGACATGAATGAGAAACACAGAATCAGACGCAGCCATTACTGCAGTTAGCAGATAGCAAACATAAAAGACGAAAATTTACTGATTAACCCATTATCATACTTATAGTCCCTAACCTCTAGGTGGTGTATTTCCGGTTATAAATAGAAAGGTCATCTGTACCTAGGTATATCAAGGCTAGAATACCCAATTAGGAAATTGTTGAAAAGTTAACCCTATTATTACATATCCATGGTTAGATACATGGGTTGTAGATATAGTAATTTCTCCTCGGGAAACTATCAAGTCTTCAAAGAACATCCATTTTACCTATAGCCATAATCTATCTACGTTTTGCAGAACCTGACTCTTGAGGACTTTGTTATCCTTCTTACCGAAGCTCTTCAAAGTATCAATCCTAACTAATTATCGACACCTACCAGATGTTAGGATAACCTCCTCCTTTCATACCCTAATGTCCCTGAGACTATATTAACTGTCTTGTCGGGTGGTGAGGACTAACTTTATACGAGTAAATATCTAACTATGGAGATGGCTTAGTATATTTACTAAGGAGAGAATTGCTTTTGTAGGTGTAGTAATGGCTGCAGTTAACAGATAGCGAAGATAAAAATAAAAGACAAAAGAATATAATGCTCAAGCCACTATATGCACACTTGTATACTCTACCATCTAAGCCATATATATACCACTTACTATGTCTACGTCCGATGCAAATAATATCCCAAAATCAACTCAACAGCCCACCTCAAAACAACATCCATTCCTGCACTCCCACCACCCGGTGCAACCTCAACCCCAACATCAGTCCTAGCCCTAGTCCCATCCCCAATCCTCCGAACAAGATCAGCCTCCACCAGATCCTGACTCCCACCCTTCATATCTTCACCCCCATCCTCGGCAATCAACAACCAAGCATGATCCGTCACATACCGCGGCCAAACAACATCATCCACATACCCAGGCGGATCGACCCAGAAATTCTGCGGTGGCCGATCATCCTCAGCCTCAAGATCGATATCCGTCCCCGTCTTTCCATCCCTATCTACATCTCCCCCATCCGCGGATGTCTGCACGGGCGGTTCCGGCGCCGGCCCAACAGTCACATACCCACTCCTCCCCTCGCGTCTCGCCTTAACAAGTTCATACGCCGCAGGCAGAAAGAGAGGGAGATGTATAGCGTCATGAACGGAACGGAGGACGTGTTGTTCTTTCTCGGGTGGCGCAAATAGCAAAAATCCCTCGAGGAACGCAATAGTCGGGCTCCCAGTGTCTTTCCCTGCTGCTCCATCCCTCAACCGAGAACTAACGGTATCCCTCAACTCCTGCACGATCTCGTCTGATACCCCGGAGTCGGTCTGGCCGTTTTGGTCTTCCTTGCTCCGTAGCCGCGGTGGGAGTGTCCCGTTTTCGCGTACGTAGTGCAGTGCTTGCGAGAGGAAGGGGATGTCGATTGCAGAGGCTGTGTCCCAGTCTTGGATCTTTTCGCCCGAGGCGGTTGTTGTGTAGGGGATTCTGGGGTGTGTTAGTGTGGGGCTTGGGCTTGGGGGTGATGGAGGATGGATGGTTCGTTTCATTTGAGATAGATAGGTAGATATGTATGGAGCTGAAGTAGAGGTGTACGCACTTATCGTCTGGGAAATAGAAATCATCTTCGTGGATTATGAACGTGTTTAGACGTGAGTCCTCCGGCTTGAGATTCACCCCGCAGAACACACGCTGCAGTAATCGCGCGAGGGTTGTCTTGCCGCTGCTCGAGGGCCCGGATATCCCTATTATCACGGCTTTCTCGTGAACTGGTTTGCTCATTTTCTGTTCCTTGGTCATCTGGGAGATATTGGAGAATTGAAGCTTTCTAAGCTCCGAGGTGAGGGGGTGTGATTGTAAGAAAAGTCTTATCTTTTTTTATCTTATCGTTGACCTCATAGATCTCCGTACATCAATAGAGACGAGTCACAAGAGACATCTAAAAGGACATATTCATATTATTCAAATCTTACGTCCTCAAAGAGCTCGCATGACTATTCTTGTCTTCGGAGCCACATGTCTGCGTAATCTGGATCGGAACCTTCCACTTGACTCATCTCAACTCAACTCATCTCCCAGGCGAACTTAACTCTCAACTCTTCTCCTTTTCAAAAGTTTCAGACCCAACCCACCTTTTTCATCATGACTGAAAGATGGCAGAATCCAGGCGGCTGGGGAGCAAGACACATAAACGACCCCGCTCCTTTCACTTTATGGGATGACGTTAACCGCAGATATCGCGGACCGACGAAAGAAGAATACCAGTGGATTGACAACAAGTTCAGACAAAGAAGGATCTTCATATCTGGCTGGTGTATAGGCATCGAGATCGACAACCCACCAAACCCGCTTCCTCTCACACTAGGATGTATGCCGGTCATGTTTGTTGAAAACATTGACCATATTCCCATGTCCCTCCCAAACGCACTTTATTCCAACCCACAAGCACCAGACCCCTGTCCTCATCACCACTGGCCGGAAATGGAGTTCCCAACAGATGCAGACAATATCGCCTTCCTCAAAGCGTTGGAGCTGCTGGCGAATGTACGTGCGGTTGTGTATCTGCCTTGGTGGACTGTGGTCGAGCTTGAATACGGAGACAACCGTGTTTATGATTGTAGATCACTTCCTGGGACTGTTGCTGGGCGCACAGCTTATTACCACCATGAAGAAGCGCCTTTCTACGAGTCGATGAAGACTCGGACCCGACACCGACAATTTGAGCCGGCTCAACAAGAAGAACCACCGTGGAAGTTATTGGAAGGGAAATATATCAAGGCAGGATCGTGGGCTGAGGTTGATAGTATGAGTTCAGGCCTAGTGAGCTTACTCTCGTATGGGAAGGTGTTTCAAAAACCCACGCAGGGGAACGCAAAAATTCCTTTTGAACGGTGGCAGTCGTATAATCTCCAGGTGTGTTGGGGAGTTGTGAACGAAGCTATTTCCGACAGTATCAGCGGGGCACAGATCATTAGCTGCAAAAACGGCGCAGTGACTGGTTTTTTCGATCTCTTTGATGGCATACATTGTCTTAGTGCTCATCTTGATGATCTAGTAGCTGAGGGATAGCAGGTTGTTTAAACGACTAACCCACTTACATCACAGTCTTAGGGTCTCCAGTGGCTAGTACTGATACTCATATTCTTAGCAGCAGTTGCTATATAGCTAGCTCCAATGAGATGTTTTTACCAACTTTCAAGGAATCACACACGCCTTAATCCTTAGTCTGCTTTATCTTAGCCAGATGTATACTTGTGTATGAACTAATTTTTTCTCTCTTGGGTTGAATAAGCTGTTATTGTTCTAAATGCATGGGGAGTATAGTGTAAGAAAATCTAGAATGCCGCTAGAACGTAAAAGTGAAGATATGTACCAAGGCTAGAACGGCCCGAATATCGAGGGTCGCGTTTGAACACCATTCCCGGACAAATCTGACCCAGAGTGCATCGGCACGAATTGAACCGAACCAGATGCTCCGAAAGCTTCAACACTATCCCCAACGACCATCTCACGCTCCGTGAAGCCAATCCGCGATGGCTCAGAAGTCGAATTCAACTCGGGTACAGTCTGCAGCGGTCCAGGAACCGCATCCACAGCACCCTCACCCATGACCTGGTCATGCTCCGCAAAGCCAATCCGTCGCCGCTTGGCTGATGGCCCCATAACAACAGTCGAACCGAAATCGGTATCAGACTCCAAAACTGGCCGTGGATTCTGCGGCAATTTATGCTGATCAAATAGCCCAAGCGGGTATGCTAGTGGAGCCATGCCGGCCGAAGCCTCGTCGGGCATGGGCAGGAAGGGCTCGTTCTTAATGATGTCGCTCATGGTACTATCGTTCAGCGGGTTATCTCCTGCCTGCTTCGTCTCCTCGGCGGTCATGTTTTTGCTGCGGTTGAGCATCCGGTATTCGAGGGTATTGCCTAGAACGAGGGTTTCGACAAAGACTGGTCTTTTCTGCCCGATTCTGTGGGCTCGTTTGATGGCTTGGCTTTCCACGTTACGTTCCCAGATTGGGTTGACGATGTACATCCGTGAGGCTTCGGGGATGTGGAGGCCATGCGAGGCTTGTTTGACGCTCATCAGTAATACACGAACTTCTTCGGTTTCGCGGAATTCCCTTAGATGCTCGGTTTTGAAATTAGAGCCCATGCTCGCGGTGCTGGCGTAGGTGCGGAATTTGACTGCTATTAACTCCAGGCCTTGCTCGACCCAGGAAGCGACGTTGTCGTGTTCATAGAAGATGATGATTTTCTCGGTCTTTTGGAACTTCAACACTTGATCCAACAAGTACCGAAGTTTGGCCGATGCTACTCCTTCCAGCTTCGTTTGTGCCAAGGGCGAAGTCTTCGGGAGAGCGCGGAAGATGTTCTTCTTAGAAGTTTGATTTTGCTTGTGCCCTTTCGATTTTGATTTGCTAACTGGAGCATTCGCCGACTCAGGGGCACCGCTGTGAGCAAATGTAACTGCCTGGCTGCGTTGAACTAGCTCCCGACGAACTTTGATACCTTCTCCTGCGAGACCGTCGGCGGGATCAGGCGTAGTGAGATGGTTCATCACAAATTGCTGCGCGCGACGGGCCTGGGTGATCCCCATGAGTAGGAGCTCGTGGTCGGCCTCTGTGGGATCAAGGGCCCACATGTTGCGAGCATGCTCTGGGAAATGCCGAACAAAGACTCCAAGCTCATGCATCTTCTTGAATCCATTCCAGCCTGGAGAATTGATTGCCTTTCGTGCGATCTGGATCCCATGTTTTAATTGGTTGAAATCAGCCACTGTCATCTTCTCTTGGTTTTCCTCCAGATATTCCAAAGCAATGTCGACAGAACTTTGGACATTGTCATCACCGGCCCACCAAAACCCAGCCAGACGCAAGTTTTGTATCAACTCGGTGAGTTTAGCTTTGTTTTTGTTTTTCTTGTTTTTCTTGTTTTTTCCGTCACTCTCGCCAAACATATAGTCGGGACCTTCACGTTCAGATGTAATAGCGTTGACTGCGAGTGTAAAGAGGAAGATGTTGATGTATAGCCGGTCGTAGAAGGTCGGCTCAAGGTAGACCACCTTGTTATACAGCGGCGGAAGAGTGATCTCTTTTTTGACCGTTTCGTACCGGTGTCGCACAACAAGGCTCTGGAGGGTGGCACGTAGAGATGGAGATTTTCGACGAATTCCATCTTCACCTACCATTCTTGTGTAACGAGGCCATTCTTTAGTATTGTTGGCCCAAGGCTTGAGACTGAAGAAATCATGAATCATGTCGCCCAATTTATCCAAATTTCTGATTTCATGGTTGACGGCATTGCCCGCCTTCTTGCCTTTTTGTAAGATGGCAGCTTCGTTATTGTCGGGTGATGATTCAGTGTCATCTGTGTCCACTTCCAGTGAAGCAATGCTAAGTTCCACTCCATACAATTCGGAGAGAGGGGTTCCCGATATCATCCAGCGGCGCTCGAATTCCAGATTTTTTAGCAAGTCGACCATTCCCGTTGTTTTACCCGCAAGGTTATGCCCTTCATCGACAATGACTCGCAACCAGTGAAGATTGAGAATAGGGGCATCCGGTTTCCGCCCATTTTTGTTGTACTTTGCATTCTCTTTGATGCATCGGCTTTTAGAGAACAGCACAATATCAAAGTCTAGAAGTTCGTCCGTTGATGGTGTATCCTGATTTTGCAGAACTAAGAATTTCAAATCGCTAGTGTGAGTAGTGATCTCACGTTCCCAGTGGTCCATCAAATTATCCGGGACAATAACCAGTGTACCGGAGCAGAGACGAATGTGCTTGGCCGACTCGGCGAAATGTGATTTAGCCCTTTGGTGATCGCTTCTTGCCGGTATGTCGTAGGAACCACTCTGGGCCACACAGGCCTTCCTACAGTTATCATGATTTTCGTGCTCTTCTTCCAGTAACCGATCAAAGTGGTCCTTCCAGGGCAGGGAAAAGCGACCAGCAGCAGCAGCAGCCATTTCCATTAGAGTTCCAGTCTTGCTTCTGATGGGGTTATCGAGTTTTTGATACTCTACCGGGATTTTGGGGAAATGTCCTCGCGTAGCCAATATTACGGCAAGGCTGATGAGGGTTTTCCCGCATCCCATGGATTCTGCCAAGATCCCTAGTAACAGTTAGTATAGTTCCCCAAGATATTCACAACCCAACAATAATTGAGAAAGTCAGCGCCACAGATATGAGTACCTACCTCCACAGGCCTCGGGATACAATATCTTGTCCCTCATAATGCTTCCAGACACCCTGTCATAATAGAACTCTAACCCAGTCGGACCCTGCCAAGGCTGGAATCTCGGATCAAGCGCCAGCGCCGGCTGTGCCTCTCGCTGAACCATTACAGCAGCGGATTTGCGCTGAAACGGATGAAGCTGTGTCTTAAGACCCCGAACCTTATTTCCGAGCAACTCACCCATAGCACGCCAGGAGTGCGGATCTGCTATTTCGTCCAGGTTCGGTTTGGGTTCTTGCAGCGTATTGTATATATAATATAGGGATTCTTCTTCTTCGATACCGGGCTGAGTATTGGCAAGTAGACCAGCATGGGCACCAACCAAGCCGTTCCATGCTTCAGGTGAGCTGTCGATCATGGACATGACGAGTTTGAGACCGGTTAGGAGGATGTTGTTGGTTTCACCCCTTTTTCCTTTTTTAATGGGTTTCTTTTGCGGTGCGTTTGGGAGAACGAAAACCTGTACATTGTTACTGTCGTCAAGAGAGCGTGTTCGGATCCATTCGTGTTTTTCCAGTAGCGCTATCTCGGAGTCTGGGGAGCGGGATTGGGATGAGAATTTCCTCAAAATGCCGGCTGGGATATATTGATCCATATGCGTATCCGTTGCTTCTGAGGTGTGAGTTTCAAGAGGCTCAGCTGTCATATGACTCATGTCTGGTTCTACAGGCTCATCTGTGATCTCTGAGTCGAGGGGCTCATCTTTCACGTCTGAGTCGGGGAGCCCATCTGTCACGTCTGGGCGGAGAGGCGCATCCATCGCCTCCAGGTCCGATTTCATATCGGGTTCAGGGCTGGACGGGGCAACAGAAAACCAAGGAAGCCCGGAAGATCCATGGTTCATTTGCATTGGTCTGATCGAGGGACCAGGGGCCAATTGTGCTCGTTCTGACATCGCAAATGATTGCAAGAGAAACAACACCCCATGGATGATGAAATAGAATCCAGAGAGAGATTGGCAGAATGATGACCGCTTTTGATAAGCGGCTCTGCCCCGTCGGGTTGGGGGGGGGTGGATCAAGGAGGTCCGAGCTCCCACGAGTTGGCTTCTTAGGACAACGTCTCTCCTTTCTCGATACGTTTTATATCGTCTAGATTGTTACATTAAGATTATTACACTGTTTCATCTATTAATATTATTCATTAGAAGCACGATGCGCCGTCATCAAATTACCACGATCTAATCTATCACACGCCCCAACCAATGACTCCATAAATCCTTAACAATGCACCATACATTCTCTGCCCAGCCTGCAAGCAGGTCTTAACTTGAGCTCCTGGCGGAGCTTACTGAGTCAAGAAGTCCTCAATCTCAAAACCCATCCGCTTAAGCGCCTTCTCCTCTAAATCCCTTCCAGCAACCTTCCTCAGCACAACCGTGCGCGCATCCTGCAATCGCACCTCGACAGGATTCCCACCCATGCGATCCAGCTCTTCCTTACTGCACTCTCGAATGTAAACCGTGATATCAGGACCCACGCACGCGCGCCACAGCGACGCCATCCACTGCCAGTGATCTAGCGGCGCGTAGGAGTCGCCGATGGGCGTGGAGCAGGCGAATGCGTCAGCCGTGGTGAGCTGGTATCGCGGGACGAGTGCGATCGGCACGCCGTAGTGGCTGCCGGATGTGATGGCGCTGGTCTCGGAGCCATTCTCGCTTGACTGGGCGGGGGAGTGGATGTGCATGTTTGCGGTCTTGGGGATGAGGGTGCGGGGGGAAACGTTTGAAGCGGGGATTTCCTCGTCTGTTGCTATAGAGCGAGCGTCGACAGAGCCGGCTCTTGAGGTGGATTTCACGAAGCCGACGACTTCGTCGGAGATCCGGTGCCAGGCTGAGATGGTGTTGAGGTAGTCGACTGTGGCGTCGCCCATCTGGCCCGCTTCTGCAGAGCTGGGTCGGGGTGCTTTGATTTCTGGTCCGTCAAAGACTCGTACGTGGTACTTTGTTTCCTTTTTTAGGAGGTTGTTGAGGTATTCGACGGCTGTTTGGACAAGGTCGGGGTCTTGGCCGTCCACGGCGATGACAGGGCCGCGGGGTGGGGGAATGCCTTCTCGGAATGAGGGGAGGAGGGGTGGGGAGATCTTGGCGAGGACTTTGATCTTGTTCAGGAAGGGGATTGTCATAACTGTTGCTTCGACACTGGATCCTTCTTGTGGATAGGGTGTCATGGGAGTCATCACTGGTGTTGCGGTCTGGAGTGGTGGTAGCTTCAGACTGGGGTCGGGGTGTGGCTGTCCCGGGACACTTTGATACGGTCGTTGCGGTTGAAGCATGGGGAGATGGCGTGGTGGCATATCAGGGCGAGCACTCCAAGGGGTCATCGGGTGCGGTGACTCGGGGATGCCATTTCCAGGACTGTGGTCCCGGTAGGAGGGATGTAGAGTTGGCTTGAATGCGCCGTGGGAGACTCGGCGGCGTTTATTATCAGGAGATCGACCACCGGGTTCCTCCCAGTGTCTTTGGCGAGAACGGGGGTCATGGTCCAACTTTGCTGACTTTGGTACTGGATTGGGGTCCTTCTCGCGGCCTTGGACGCTTCTTGGCGGCATAGCATTTGGGTGGGGTGATGATACTGAGAAGTTTGATGGTGGTCGATACCCGGGTGCACTGCTGGGTGTGAACGGAGTCATGGGAGAAGCGGGTGCATTCATCAATCGACCACCACATCTGCTACAGTGTGATGAACCAGATGGGTTGTTCCCAATACCTGAGGCCGAACTCCGGGCGCTTCCATCCCGACCATACCGCCGAGGCTGGTAGCGGTAGTCAGGGTACTGCTGCTGATGCCGAGCTTTTTCCTCCTGGTGTAATTGTTAGCGGGTGAGATCATATTGTCAGAGATACCTATCTTACCTCTGCAAGTGCCTTCCAATTACTCTTATCATCCTCGGAAAGAGATCGCCACTGTTCTCCGATAATCTTGGAGATCTCGGGATTGGCCAAACCAGGATTATGAGCGACCACCATGGCCTGATAATGCTGACGATACAGAATAAAAGCTAAAATTTGCACAATATTAGCTATGTCCCATGTGTTCGAAAGATCAGATCTGGCTAATGACGACCAAAAAAGAAACAATCGAAAAAGCACTTGCCAAGCTGTAATGACGGTGCGGACAATATCGACTCACCATTACGAGGCCGGGGAATTTTCGGATCCGGTTGACAGAGGCAAAACTGCGTAGTACTCTCTTTCTGTGGCTTGATGGGACTAGTACTGCTGGCTGAAGAGGAAGAGGATCGATCTGATCTGTCTCGCACAGACAATTCCTTGGTCGAGATCATGGGGCCCACAGGCTTGAGAGAGCCATTGGAGGACAATTTGTGTGCCTCTTTGGATGCATTTAGTGAGATATGTTGATGTTGATGTGTCTGATGTACCCCGGTTGATCGAGGATCGGAGTATCTGACTGAAGGTCCCACTGGACCGTCGGCAGGGTGTCTCATGGCCATAGCAGAGGTCAATTCTTCGTTCATGACTTTGGGATCGAGTAAATTGCTCGGTCTAGGCAGAGGGACTTGGACAGGCTCATAGCGTAGAGCAACAGGGTTAGGGAGAACTCGATCGTAAGACATTTATTTAATACTTTTCTCTCTCAATGGAAAGGCTCGAAGGCGAAGTTTGAATCAAAGAAATACCACAAGGGAAAGGTAAAAAAAAAAAAGCATAAGCCTTGAAAGGGAAGGCAGAAGTGAATAGGTTTGGGGGCGACTGGGCCCCAAGAAATAAGAAGAAAGAAAGCGAGGGGGCTAGCGGCGAGAACAAAGAAAATGAATCAAAAATGAATCAGAATAAGGAGAAAATGGGAAATAATCCCAATAAGAAATGATTGAAAGATCGGGGAATACCAGGGATTAGGACAAAGCGAAGTATATGGGCGTTTGGACAAGCCCTAAGCGTTTTCTTTGTCTTGGGTTGGTTTCCCCCCCAGAATCCCTGTCTAGCGGCTAGTTCTTTGACAATAGCTCCAGATTGCCCTTGATATTCTGACCGAGCCAACCGAGATAAAAAAGAAATTAACAAGAAAAAAAAGTACGAAAAAATAAGATATGAACAAAAAATAATAGAAGACTTTTCTTTGTACATTCTCTTATTCTTTCTATGGAGACCTACTATAGACTTAGGGGAAAATCTCGTTATACTTCCAACTGACACGGTACCCTTCAGATTATCTCAACCAAAGAAAAATAAGAAAAGAAAAAAAGAAAAAAAAAAAGAAAAAGAAAAGAGAAAACGAGGTGTCAACTCCAAAATCAACTAACCAAAAATCCCCCTAATTCTTTAATTTCCTTAATTTCCTAATTTCCCTAATATTCTAATATTCTGATTTTCCAATTTCCTAATTTCCAGGGCCAAGGCACTAGAGTCATTGTTTTCTTTGTCTCCGGATGCGGCGACCCGCTTGATCGAGCTGGTCCACGAGGCTCCACCTAACTAGTCCTCTTCGTTGATTGGCTGGGGCATGTCCTAAATCGGTTCCCCGTCAAATCCAACAAAGAAATCGGCGAAAATCTGCGAAAAATCCGAGTTAAACAAGTTACACCAAATTTATTTCTTGGATTTTTTAGACTTTAGTTTGGATTGTCTCATGGCATTGTCACCTGGACTGATCTATACTCTTATATTCATATTCATATTCATTCATACCAAGTACATATGTACATGTATCTTTGGAAAACTATCTCTTCCATACCAGGATCCGGGATGATCTCATTGCCGATCTCTCGATCCACCATGTGTTACACTCACTTTTGCTTTGACTCTTCGAACAATACCACCCTTTTCCCCTATCTTCCTTATGTCTCGGGTAATGGATGATCTGGATCTTCCCGCTTCCAATAACTCTGCAGGTTCCAGTCTATGGTTTGACCGGTACTACCGTGTCCTTCTTTGACTCAAGAGTCAGAGGGTTCAGATCCACCCTTTGATTGTCCTGGAACCTGTCCGCCTAGGTGGCCATTGCTCACCCGCATCAAGTATAGTCGGGGTCCAGCGCTTTTGATTCTCGGGCACCGACATCATTGCTATTTGCTACCTACAGACCTCCCCGGGCACTTGCGAGACGTCATATTTGTCACCGTTCTTTTTCTTTTTCGCTTCTTTTTTTTTTCTCTTCTCGTTTTTGGGTTGTTTGTCTGAAGAATCGCCGGTCATTGATCTGGACAATGTCTAAGCTGCAAACCCCCGTCGGTTGTGGCGCTTCCATGGCGCTCCCTTCGGATTCAACAGAATCAATCCCATGGTAGATTGATTTCCGCCATGAGAGCCGGTGAGCTGAGAAACCCAAATGCATTTCGTTCCTGAATTCAACAGTGTCACAGTCAGCCAAAAAAAAAAAATGGAACTGGACCTGTCGATCCCTCCCCCCACGTTTCTTATAGAAATGGTAAGGAATGACGAAGGGGAAAAAAAGAACCCATTTACCAGAACAGATACTTATCTGGATACTCACACTGTTTCTTATCCTTTGACATCATGACCTGGAATCCACCTTCAACACAAGGCTCCACGACATTCTCCCACCCAAGGTCCAAGTTCTTCCCTAGATCATTATCCTCCTCAATACCCGCCGCATGAAGTTGCCAGTCACGAATGCGGTCTATTATAAAAGCATTGCTATCAAAATCATAGACAGTGCCATGGCTCCACTCCCTAGCCACCTCGCGGAGCTTCCCATTCCACTCTTCCAGGATCCGCACCGAATCCTTGTACTTATCACCCGTGGACTTGAACCCAGGTAGGAAAGTCACGTCAACCGTCTGCGTCGGAATAAGTTCCAGCTCCATTGTACCTCAGCGCTCAGATAGCGTGTCAAGCTGACCCATAAGCGTTGCAATGCGCCACTCAACCGATTTTCTTGCTGTGTTGTAGTCCTTTGTAACCAGGCTCCAGAGATCCCACACGGAAGATACAACGGAGATAGTGCGGTCCAGGCGGGACCGGACCGCTTCCTTGGAAAGTTTCTTCGTCGCGGTTGACTCGGCATTTAGCCATTGCTGGAGCTGGGACTTGGAGTCCGCGATGTGGGTCTGAGACAGTCGGTCTAGTAGATCAAGTTCTTTGTTATCGACTGTGACGCCGACATTTTTGCCTTTTGGAGGTTAGTTTACTGTCTGTGATAGGTTCTCTTGGTCGCAGGAGAAATAATCGCGTTTCAGGTTGTCCCCGTCAGATACGGTGCTCGTTTCTCCGCGTTTATACTTTCTCGGGGTGTGTCATCTCACCATTGAACAAAGCCAGCCCGTTCATATCTTACCTTATGACTCGTCATCGGATTGGCTATCGCTCTGTGAGTCTCCGAACACAACTAATTGCTGGTCAAATGATCTGCCTACTTAGAACGAGTCTAATGCCGAAGGGACAATATCGGGGAAACTCCGTCACATCAAAAGCCACGCTGATATGGGAATCATACAGGCAGCGCGTAGAAACGCTTAAACAGGCGTGTCATGACTGGATGGCCAAGATCCAGGATAGGCCCAGTTGAGTGGTGTCAAGGTTTGGATCTCAGGTATAAAAAAGCCACCATAAATGCTCGATGGCAAAGTGTAAGTCGAGCTATGCTCCTAGGCAGCAATAGCAATACGACACAATGTAATCAGAAATTAATGTCTCTCGGATTCTGCAGACAACCAAAAGATTATCCGGCACTGTAAATAATTGGAGATCACGACGAAATCTCCACTCGGACAAGAAGCATCGGTAAGGTCGGTATGTGGCGGTTTCTCCAGAAATACTACAGAAAATTAGAAATAATATTGAAACAGAATGTAATTGGTATAATTATTCTCTAGAGCTAAAATGCACAAGAACTATCACCGATAAGTCTGAAATCCCTATATGAGACGGGAATTCGTCATATCTGTAGATTAGCCGCGTGGCTCGGACAGAGCCAAGTAGACTAATGTCCAACTGGACAAATCAGAGTCACTGATTGGAACTCCCTTTTACTTTCGGATTATGGAGTAGACTGGGCCACAATTTCTTGATCTAGTATTTTGGCCCATATCTAAGCCTCTTAGTGATATCTAGGTTCTCCTGTTCTTTCACCTTTTCTAGTCTCGAATAGTGGAGACCAGTCTAGACTCACTTGCATCTCCTACAAAGCCCATCACACAAGACCACGCACACTGGCGTTCTGTTTCGCATTGTCTTAGGGATCTGACATTTCTTTGGCATATTTGCTGTCTGAGATGCAATTGTTTCTTGTTACTATGGTCGTGCCAAGACATTGTATACTGCAGATCTCTAGAGCGGAGTACTATGACAAACAATGTTTCTATGGGAAAATAGATGGATAAGGAATGAAAAAGCATGGAGGAAAGATATTAATTATGGGGATTGATGAACTAATAATTTTCATTTTTCTGGCTATAACACTGAAAAGGGAAAGACATCTTAAGAATACGTCCAAGGAACACATTGAAGCATTATTTTAGATATGAACTTGGAAAGTCCTCAATATTAATTTGACACAAATGGATCATATTTCAGGAGCCCCATCTCATCAAGGGCATAGGTTGCATAAACGGCCGTCTATTCTCGTATATGAAACCCGGAACAGGACCATCGGTTAGTCAATCAATACTAGTGATTCATTCCTGAGTCTCCATATTCCGAACCCCCCAGGGCTTAGCCATCTATCCTCATGAGATAGTGTCTTACAAATCCAGGGGTTGTCTGCTCAATGATCCATGCACCGGCGTTTGCAAGGTCTGACATGCCAATGGTTCAGACCAAAGATCGGGTATAGTGTCAAATATGGTTAGTGAATGCTGTTAATTTGCAATTGTCGTACAAGGCTCGTGGTGGCTGTCAATGAGTGAGTCGTTTGGTGAGACCAGGCTCAATATTGATATATAAAAGTTGGAGTTCGGCCGGTCGAGACTGAATCAAGACCCGAAACATTCATTCATCATTCCGTCAGTGATTCAAGGTCAGTTGTATTCGAAAGTCGCACTGTGATGTCTCAAGCCTGAATAAAAGAGCACTGTGTTGATTCAAGGTGGAGGGAAAGCCATAGTCGTCGGCGATCCTGGATATGTGTGATATTTTGGATGCTTAGTTGACGGGAGTAAGTTGTATATGCATCATTGAAAACATATTTATTTTGGAGTTTTCAACTCTCTGTATACACCCGTACCACAACATTTTATGAACATGACTTGAGTTGATGACAACGAAGAAAAGAAAATGCCAGGGTCCTGATATCAAGTCACATGACCTTTGAAAGAATACACTAAGCCCCATTGGGTGACCACAAGCCCTACTTCCCACACGTGACACGTGACTTGCACCTCGCTAAGCCGGCGAACTAAAAAAATCCACAATACGGACTCCTTCGACGACAATCTCACAAATCGACAACACCCGCGCTACCGTCTTGACCGCGCCGCCTCCGTCAAGATGAAGCTCAACATCTCCTACCCGGCCAATGGGTCCCAGAAAATTATCGAGATCGACGATGAGCGCAAGCTCCGTCCCTTCATGGAGAAGCGCATGGGCACCGAAGTCAGCACTCCCTCAACCTTCATCCTTCCCCGATTGCCCGACATCAAATCGATGAACAACATACACACACACACGACTATGGAGAACGACAGGCTAATTGGAATTTTTGATTAGGTTGCCGGCGATGCTCTCGGTGATGAGTTCAACGGTTACGTGTTCAAGATTACCGGTGGTAACGACAAGCAGGGTACGCATATAATCCCTCCATTCCAGTGTCGGAATAACGAACTCGATGATGGAAAATGGAATTCAACGCACAAAACGTGAACCACAATGCTGACGAATTTTGATTTACAGGTTTCCCCATGAAGCAGGGTGGTACGTACACAGCCGCACAACAACCTGGGGAATGATGAAAAAAAATTATATCCAACCCCAGGGATACAACCACCAAATCGCAGGATACTCATCGAATTATTTTTTACAGTTCTCCTCCCCACCCGTACCCGTCTCCTCCTCGCCGACGGCCACAGCTGCTACCGCCCCCGCCGCACCGGTGAGCGCAAGCGCAAGTCCGTCCGTGGTGCCATCACCGGTCTGGACCTTGCCGTCCTTGCTCTCTCCATCGTCAAGCAGGGCGAGGGTGAGCTTCCCGGTCTCACCGACACCGTTGTCCCCAAGCGTCTCGGCCCCAAGCGTGCCACTAAGATCCGTCGCTTCTTCGGTCTCGACAAGAAGGACGACGTCCGCAAGTTCGTCATCCGCCGTACCGTCACCAAGGAGGGCAAGCAGGATTACACCAAGGCCCCCAAGATCCAGCGTCTGGTTACCCCCCAGCGTCTCCAGCGCAAGCGCCAACGCGTTGCCATCAAGCGCCGCCGTGCTGAGACTGCCCGTGATGCTGCGTAAGACTCCCCCTTCTTTTTCTGTGCTCTGGTTGATTATCTACGGGTGCATCGATTTGATTTTGGAAAAACATGTGAACTAACGGTTGTACAGTAACGACTACGCTAAGCTCCTTGCCGGCCGTGTCCACGAGGAGAAGGCCAAGCGTGATGAGCTCCGCAAGCGGAGAGCTTCCTCCATGCGGAAGTAAACTTTCAAACCCGCGGTTTTATGATTTCGTTCTGCGGCGATGGGGTTTAATGGAGGAGCTTCACGTCTCTGGGATGATTTGAGGGGAATTCACAAAAAATGAATCACTCTCAGGGGCGCGGAGGATACATGTCTGATAAAAAGAAAAGGGAACAAGAAAAGAGACGGGGAACAGGTTTCAAAACGTACAAAGCAGGCTGAGTGGTTGATACTCCCTTGTGTTTGGCTACGGTGATTTCGGGCCTTGGGAGTCGCATGCATATCTGTGTTGAACCCTACCTTTTTTTGATGACCCTTTTTTTTTGAATGGAGTGCATGCAAATTTCAATACTCAGTTCTGTCAATTGCTCGAGGCTTTTTTCAAGGAGTAGGCGTAGTTATATTGGGTATGGAGTAGTCTATTGTATATCCCCTCGATTTATATATTCCCCCCTCTTTGTGGGCTCATAGTCTACTCCACTTGGATGAAGTCACGTATATACACTAGTTCAGTAATGCCATTACCTTAAATTCCCCCGCTTCCAGGCATAATTATCCCAAGGGTTAGTAGAGACACGGGTCACGTGTTGTACAGGGTCTCGAAATGGCAAAGGCATTCGGAATTATGTTTTTCAAGGGTATGACTGTGTTTTGAGGTCAATAGTACGTAGTTGTGGCAGGATTTTTACAAGGATGTCCACTATCAGATGTGTTTCCACTCCACCTCCGCGGCTAGTGGTGCCCAAGTCACATGTATTCTACTATAAATTTACATATATTGTAAGATTGCGGCAGCAGTATATCGAGATTTAAGCAGCCAAGCCAACACACCCATAACATCACTTCCTTAATAGAAGAACTCATGTCCAATTTCAAATGTTGTAGAATGGCCCCCAGGCCTTGCAATAATTTAAACCAAATAGCAAGTACTCTGCATATGAAGAGCACACACATGCACGATGCAACCGAACCCAAGGATAACCAACTTCCGCCAGAGAGAACTGCATAAAGCCAACATTTAAACGTCGGTCTCTCTCTCTCTTCCAAAGAAAAAAACATAATAAAACAATAATAAAACACCCGGGGACTGACATCCTCGTCCGGCTAATAAAAAGGGTCATAAAAATCGTATTTTTTGTTTCCCGCTCACTTCACGGTTTTGCGCCACACTCGTAGGTAATCACTAGGACAACCCGTAGATTTAATCCTCTGTCTTGATGTAATAATTCATTCCTGCCTCTGATTTACCCCACGGTGTGCG